CCATTCTTCCGTTGATGGGCATCTAGGTTGTTTCCAGGTTCTGGCTATTACAAATAGTGCTGCTATGAACATAGCTGAGCATGTATCTTTATGGTATGAATCAGCATTCTGTCTGTATTCTAATGAGAGAGAGAGGGAGAGGGAGGGGGAAAGGGTGTGTGTGGGTTTGGGTGGATGAGGAAGTGGCGAGGATCTGGGAATCAGAATATACTGTATGAATAATCTATTTTCAATATAAAAAGTAAAGATGAAAGCTTTAAAAAAAAAGGGGGGAAAAGAAAACAGGCCCAGCAATCCATGAGGTCAAACCAGTAAGCAACATTCTTTATGGTCTCTGCTTCTGTTCCGGCTTCCAGGTTCTTGCCTTGAGTTCCTGCCCTGACTTCCCTGGATGAATGACTGTGATCAAGATGTATAAGCCAAGTGCCCCTGCCCCTGCCCTCCTCCTAAAAAACCTTACTGGTTCACATATACCACTTTAAATTAAACCAGCCCCCTTGGACATTTCATTAATCCCTTGTCACAGATCCTAAGTAAGTGCTAAACTCATGCTAAACTCAGGCAGTTCCCCACAGCACTTATCACGTAATGTGCATATTCATACCCACATAAGTGTGGGCTTGCCAGCCAGGTGGTTAGGGTAGTGTTGGTTGTGATGTCTTTGCTGAGGTTGGTGGGCAGGGGGTTGATGTGAAGGGGCTGAGAAGCTATCTCACTACACAGGCTGCTCGTTTGAGCTGTGCTTTGCTTTGACTGCCCTCTGGCGTTGGGATTTGGAAACTCTAGCTCAGCAGTTCAGCTGTTCAAGGGAAGAGGTAGGTGGTACTTTCTCCCGTTTAGGATCCTGGTTCTTCTCTTCCCACTAAGCAATCAATAAAGAGCCTTTAATTTCAGTAGAAAGTCTTTGTTCTCCTTGGAATACGCTTTCTTTAATGTCAGCTTTTCTTCCTGTCCTCAGATCAGTGATAGCAGGGACCCAATAGCACCAAGTGGAGATTTGGTTCTCTACTGGGTCTCCGATATAGTTCTTAAGACCTGCTGAGCACACACGCATCAACTGGCTGACTAGAGATGTTGGTGTGAACCTGACTTCATTATACTAGGATTTTTGAGTGCTTTATTTCAGTACTGGTGCTTTATATGAGTTCATTTACTCTAGATGAATTTTAAATGCTTTTGACTTTTTCCTAGGAGAACTTAATTGTTTCGTAGGGCAGTGATTTAGGGACTTGATTAGCTAGTGTGATTTGAACTTGAAGACAAACAGCTTGCTTGTGTAGTGGGGATTGATAATCAGTTGAGAATTATTTTCAGAAAAAGCTCTGGGTCTGATCTCTAGCACTGGGAAAGGAAGGGAAAATAAAAATTGATGCCCTTGCTTTGTGTCAGCACTTGTCTGTATAAGGTACAGTGCCTTGGCAGGCATGGCGGTGCGCACCTGTAATGCCTGTACCTGTATTGCCAGGCTGAAGTCGGAGACTGCTGTACAGAGTAGCCTGGGCTAAGAGCAAGACCTGTCTCAAAACAGTAACAACAAAAATAGAGACAAAATATTTTATAGAGGTTTATATCTTGATTCATTTAATAAGTTGGATTTACTTTGACATTCCTCCTGTATAAAGTGTTGCTCCTCTTCCTCCCTGCCTCTTTTGATTTCTCTTTTTTCAGTGCTAGTATCAAAGCAAATGCCATCCACATAAAGTGATCACTTCAGACTCAGCTGTGTCCCCGCCCTGCCTAGAATTTTATCAGTTGGCTCACTGCTGCTTTGAGTTGATACTGCTGAAGGAGGAAGTGGGTGCGGAAAAAATCCAAGTGTAAAATTTGTGAAGGTGGTAGGCTTCCTAACAGTCTGTGCGAGAGAAAGGACTTAACAGCTAGAGACAGGCTAGATGGATCTCTTGAGCTTGTGTGGCTTTAGTTTCTTGGGTATTACCGGATTTTAGTGGCCTTGCTGGCCACTACCCACCAGTGCCCCCCACATCCTAATGGCCATGAACAAACCTTCTAACTACTAACTGTGGAGATAAGTCAATAGTGTATACAGGTGGGGTTTCTCTTCTCAGAGATGCTTGAGATAAGGAGTTTTCAGATTTTTAAAAAAACTTTTACTAAACTTTGTGGGGTGAACATCCTTGGTGTGAACTCTGAAATGTGGCAGAGCAGGAAACTCTTGAGCATCATGCTGATGAATATAGGTTTCAGATTTTGGAGCTTTTGGGTGAGAGATGTCCATTACATACTATATTTAGACTAGAATAACGGCTCTGAGCTGTTTTTCTTGGAAAATTTTGCAGTTCCTAAGTGTTTCTGGGAGTAGTAGAGACTCTGTTCTTCACATTTTAAAATAAAGTAGCTTTGTAGTTAATAATCTGGCTCTACTCCAGACTGTGAAAAGTGGTACGTTCTAAATCATGTCTTGCTGACGTTTCACTTTGTTAACTGACTTCAACAGTTAGTCACTGCTAGAAAAGGGAGTCAAGACTTAGCTTGTCATCTTTTGCCATTTGTGTATTCAGATAGAGAATATAATTAACCTTTTTTTTCCTTCAAAGGGACATGAGAGATGGCTTTAGAAGAAAAAGTTTCTACTCTTCCCATTATTCAAGAGAACGATCTCCCCATAAAAGGGACGCTCCTTTTTTCAGAGAATCGCCTGTAGGCCGGAAGGACTCCCCACACAGCAGATCTGGCTCCAGTCTCAGCAGTAGAAGCTATTCTCCAGATCGAAGCCGGACGCACTCCTTCCACCAATCCCAGCACAGAAGTATGTCTGCTTGTCTCTTTTTTCCTCTGAAGTGTCTTCAAAACTTTGCCTGTTAGTCTCCTGATGGGAGTGTACTGAGTCAGACTGATTCGGAGATGTAGGACCAGGTATCATGTTTGAATTCATCAATGTGTAAAAGAGATCCTTGTTATCAAGTCCAAAAGTCAATACGCTCCCATACTTCCTACTAGTCCAAATGGCTTTTAATTAATAACAGCCTTTCCTCCTCCTCCCACTCATGGCCTCACATTGTCTTTCTTGGTGGATGTTGTTGGATTCTTGTTTTCAGCAAATATCTATACGTTGTCTATTATTTACAAAACTACTGTTTATTTGCAAAGAAGTGAAGCTTCACAGAAAACATCTTTTTGCATATAGGTGTGTGAACGGTGACTGCAGAGGTAGGAATATCATTTGAGAACTCGGTGGATAAGAGCTATTTGTGTACAAGTTCTGATCCTCAGAATCTATAAAAAAGACAGGTAGTGCCAGCCTCTCCGCTCCTAGACTAAGGGAAGCTTGTAGACAGACTAGCCTATTATATACAGTGGCAAGCACTGGGAGAGATATCTCTTACAAGGTAGAAAGCAAGGACCAACACCCACGGTGTCCTCTGAATTCCATGTATGTCATGACACATCCATGCCAATGCTCACACACATGAACACTCATACACACAGGAAAAAAAATAAGTTTTGTTTTTTAAATTAATTCATTTAATGTGTATAGATGTGTTGTCTGCTCCTATTGGCCCGTGCATCAGACGTACTGTGTTGCAGGGAGATTGCAACAGGAAAAGCCCTTGCTATGAGCAAAGCAGCATGGTGGCTATCGCTGTGTTCCTGTTCCACATTGGACACCAGATAAAACGGCTTCTTTTATTGTTTCATTAGTGAAAAATGGGCGGGAGTCAGATATTCAGGTAAAATCAGATAGATTCGAGGAGCAATAGAGAAAAGGATCAGCAACCTCTAGTCTCCATGCTTCCCCCCTCAGAAAGTCAGCACCTCTTTGGCCCCTCCTTTTTCCTCTTGTGTGTCTGCCAGAAAACTCTGTGGTCCATTCCGGCCAGCTGAATGTGGACCCCACCCTCCAAAACAAGGCCTGAGCCCTTTGGTGCTCTGGAGCAACAACACAAACAAATCTCCCCAATAATACTGCTCGTATGTCTGTGTGTGCCTGGTGCCCCAGAAGGCCAGAAGGGGGCATTGGTGTCCTTAGAATCAGAAATCATTGTAAGCCACCGTAGGCACGCTGAGAATTGAACTGGGGTCCTATAAGAGAGCGGCAAGCACTCTAAACTACTGAACCATTGCTCCCGCCCCAGAAAAAAAAGGATTTTTAATAAGTATGTCCTTTGAAAAATTAAAACAAACAGCAGTGTGCACACGTGTGATTGCTTAAGAAACTTCTGGAAACTGGGAGTTGTGTTGTAAAGGTTAGTGTCAGTGCGCATTTATTAATTTATTTTCCCTCTGACCCCCAACTTAGGCAGCCACCCCACCCCAAAAAGCTTTCAAGACAGTAGACTCTACTAAATGCTATCATGAATCGAGATATATTTAAAAAGCCACACATCTTTCAACTCCCTCCACCCCTTTCAGATGTGTGTAGCCTAAATGTATTTGTCTAAAGAGTTTGGCAGCTGGTAATAAAGTCTTAATAAAACATACAATAGTAACGGTAACTTAGGCTTTTACTTGATAGCACCCAATAAAGCTGTTAAAAGGTAGCTACTGGATGGCAGGTAAGCCCTGCTTTTGTTTGTTTTCTGAAACAAACTTCTTTGTGTTTTGAGACAGGATTTAGCTATTATCCCAGGCTGTCATTGAACTCACTGTGCATCCCAGGATGGCTTTGAACTTCCAGTTGTCCTCCTGTCCCAGCCTCCCTAGAGCCACTGGACCTGACTTAAAGCAGAGTTTGCTGGGGAAGCATTTTCCTGTCTCCGCTTTGGGCTTCACAGGCTGAGACTGTAGAATTTGAAAAGAAGCCTATGTGAGCCACCCTGTGGTGTTGGTCGGGATCTCAGGAGTGTCCCATCCTTAGTGTCTGCAGTGATAAGCAGTAACAAAGAACACAGTGTGGGGTAAATAAAGCAAGCAGAGCATAGGCATTTAGTTTTTTGGGGTGTGTGTGGGGAGGGTGCACACATATCTTGACACGTGTAGAGGTCAAAAGAGAACTTTGAAAAAATGTTTTCTCCTTTCATCATGTGGATCTTGGGGGATTGAACTTAGCATCATAAGGCATGACTGAAAGTGCCTTTCCTCACTGAACCACCTCCCTGACCTCATGCCCGGCTGTTTGACAAAGGTACTAGGGCTCAAATGCAGGTCCTTAAACTCATGAGGTAAGTACTTTTCTGATGGCGCCATCTTTCCCAGACTTCAGGTTCTTTTATTGTCAGTAGTAGTGTGTTTTTTATTTGCTGTGTGTATGTATGTTTGTGTGCGTACATATCACAGTGTACGGATGGATGTCAGTGCAGGGGAGAGTCAGTTCTCCCCTCCCACTGTGTAATTGGACTCAGCTTGTCAGGATTGGCAGGGTTTGTAATTACAAGCCACTGAATGATTTTTCTCTGGTTCTGCTTGTTTTACTTTGGGAAGAGGGTCTCATGTAGACTGAGTTGATATCAACCTTGCTGAAAGAGCCTGGATCCCTTATCCTCCTAGCTCTACCTTCTGAGTTCTGGGACTTCAGGAGTGTTCCACAAGCTCAGATCCGCAGATGGACTTCAGTGCTTTGAAGTTTTGTCGGACTCCTAGTGGTGTTGATCTGAATGCAGCTGTGAGCTTATCATTTTCAGTCTTTTTGGTTGTCCATGTTTAAATGCTAACACTGCAGGATGGCCTGATTTGCCTCATTTTCTTACTCTTTATCTTTTATAATTTGTTTAGTGTTAAACGTGACACTAGAACCGTCAAGTTCAGTCTCATACCCATTCTTCAAAGTCTTTGTTTTTTTTTTTTTAAATCAGTGTACGTTAACTATACAAAAACATTTGTATTCATGTCAATAACACACTCTGATCATACTTTTCTCTGCCCCCTTTCTCTTCCATCTTGTGAACCCCTTGTTCTTCCCAAAAAGTATCCTTTCCGCTTTCATACCTTGTAATCTATATTCCACAGATAAGAGAAAATATGCAATTTTTGTCCTTCCGAATCTGGTTATTTCACTCATTAAAATCTTGCTTGTAATTATTTCACAAAATTCCTTGTCCTCTGTGAAGTGCCTTAGCATTTCCATGTTAAAGCTTCCACTGTTGACCCAGTATGGTATCTCTGTTGTGCTATTTGTTTCTTGAATTAAAATATATCTGACAGCCGGGCCGTGGTGGCGCACGTCTTTAATCCCAGCACTCGGGAGGCAGAGCCAGGCGGATCTCTGTGAGTTCAAGGCCAGCCTGGTCTCCAAAGCAAGTTCCAGGACAGGCGCAAAGCTACACAGAGAAACCCTGTCTCGAAAAACCAAAATATATATATACACACACACACATGTGCTTGCTTATTAAGCACTGCACTGAGTTATAGTAGTTTGCAAGATATAACCTATAACTTCATCACCTATAATGATGCTTCTGGTTTTGATTTTCTGAAGTATCCTTGTTCTCATGTGATTTGTCAAGAATGAACAATGGTTGTTAAAGTGGGTGACTCTGGTTACATTTATCTTTGCTGTTAGCAGGAAATCCTATCTCAGGAAGAAAGTGTTGTGTGAAGGAGGAGTATGTTAGATGTATACTTAGCTATTGTATGCAAAGGGTCACCAAATGCCATCAGATTCTTACAGGACTTAATATCTTTTCAATGCATTTAAGTTGTGTCCACAGCTTTTCGTTTCACTATCAGTGCCAAACACTTTATACCGGTGTGTAGAGCCAATGGAAATGCTCCTTGGCTTCCAATGACACCAATTTCAGTTACAGGTTGGATGTGTCTTTAAGATGGTAATGCATTTCATGCACCTCACCTGCCGAGCTGCATAGCTGAGAAAACACACACAGAAACACAGGTCCTCGTGAGCAGCATGGCTGATGGCATGCTCTGGCTCCCTGCTTCTAATAGCATCCGGTCTGTCATACAGCACGTCCCTTAGTTTAATTTTTGTGATAAAATACCCTGATGAAAAGCAACATAGAGGGACGGGGGCTTATTTTAGCACACAGTTTGAAGTTTCAGTCCATCGCTTGGAGAAGTCAAGGGGGCACATCAAGGAGCAAAGCCATCCACTGTTCCTGCTCCCCTATCCATGCTGGAGTTTTGGAGGCTTGATCTTGTGCAGGTCTTGTGTGAGTCCTTGTGTGTCAGGCCCTGTTGTGTCTGGGAACATGTTTTGCAGCAATCTTCAGAACCTCTGGCTCCTACCGTCTTTCTGCCCCGTCTTTCACAGTGACCCCTGAGCTTCAGGAGGTTGGGGTGTGATACAGCTGTTCCATTGAGTGCTCAGCACTCAGCAGTCTCTCTTTCTCTGCACTTTTTGTGGTAGTTGCTTCTTTGAGTCTGTCATCCTTTGTTTAACATAATGATTTCCAATTCCACCTGTTTTCTTTCAAATGTCATGATTTCTTTTTTAGCACCTGGATACAATTTCATTGCACATAGGTACTATGCTTTCTTCTTCATCCATCCATCTCTAGATTTGTAGGCTGGTTTTATTTTCTGGCTATTGGAAATAGTGCAGCAGTAAACATAGATGTACCCGTATGCTTATGTCTATTCAGGTTGCTTGAAATTGTGGTGGAACAGTCTTAATTCTAGATGCAGGCATCCACAGTGACAGGCCTTTTAACTTGACTTCAGGTGGACACATGGGGAGTACCTGATTGGTCTGGTGCACACACTGCAGGTGGCCTTTTTGTCTTGTAGGAAGGTTTAAAGATAGACCCATTCACCTGGGTTAATATAAGGAGGTTATCCTGAAAATGTGAGTCAGTAACAGTGTTAATTGTCTGTCCCAGGGATGTAACTCGCTGAGCCAGTCAGTAAGCCTCTGGACCTAGTATGAGGACTGTCCCAGGAAAGGCTTACTGTAAAGAGTCTGAGATGCCTTCTAGATATGAGCAATGCTAGATTGTAAAGATGCAAATTGGGAAAAGAGTGGGCCAATCATGTTCTTGAGTGGAATCATAGTGGGCAGTCTCTAATAGTTAAATTAGATCTCTTCCTTCCTGGGAGATGAAAAGCATGAGTCTGCATGGGGATCATACTTAATTTTGAGGAGGGCACACCCATTCCCTATCTGATATTAGAAATGAAAGCTGGTGATTATTAAAAATCTGTTTGCCAGAAACGACACGTTTCCTTTTGCTAGACAGACTATAAAAGGGGGAGGAGACTGGATATGTCACAAATTCTGAAGAATTGCTCGCTAATGAAAAGAGGCTGGACTAGAAATTGGAGGACTTTGATCCCAACTGTTTGGCCTGATAAAAACTTAAGAAGCTTCCACTGGAAGGTTAGAGGGGGTGATGCTTGATTTGATTTGATGAGGTGTGTGTGCAGCCATTCTTCTGGGGTGGCTATGAAGCTCTGATCTTAAAGCCTGTTGAGTCTTCTGAGGGATGTTTTGAGGATGAGAGAGAATGAAGATTGTGGATAGTTAGAGCCCAGAAGCCTTGGGATCTCACTGGAGAAATGCTCCAGCCAGAGTTACTCAGTTGCTCTTGAGGGCCACTTCCTCCTGCTACCACAAACAGTCAATCAATCAAGAGATGCTAAGGGAGGCATGAGATGCGCTCCCCAGCTAGTTCACCCAAGTGTTCTGCTGGGTGACAGAAGTCAGGAGAAAGGGCGTTTTATCAGACCAGAGTTGATAGAGAGGCTGTAGTAAAGAGTGGACAGGAGCACAGTGGTTGTGCACGAGGAGAAGCATTCTACAGTGCTGAAGAGAAGCTGCCTGGCCTTGCCTTCTGGGCCATAAGAAGTTGGCAGGTGCAAGGACCTGTTGTTATGGAGGGCCTCTGTTACAAGACAGGCCATTTGGGGAGGAGAAGCTCGGGAGTTATTGGGAAGTTCATAATAGTTTGCTGCATTGGGCACCAAACAGCTCGGATCTGATTGTTAGGTAATGGGAGATTCTGCTTTTTATTTGGGGCCCTTTATTTTTGGTCTTTTTGTCTCTATAAGAATCTTAACAGTCAAGGCAGGCCATGGTGGCACACTTGGAGGCAGAGACAAGAAGATGTCTGAGGCCAGCCTGGTCTACAAAGCGAGTTCTAGGACATCTAGGACTGTTACACAGAGTGACCCTGTCTTGAAGATATATTTAAAAAAAAAAAGAACCTAGCATTCTTTTGAGATTCTAAATATAGCATAAGGAAGGGCTCAGCCATGATGGTAGCCATAAATCTGTGTCTGAGGAAAATCCATGTACGAGAAACATTGTAAAGAGAATCAGTAAGTTTTAGTTACTGCAATATTAGAGTATTGGTAAATCTGTTATTGAGAACAAGACAGAAAACTTGCTTGGAATTAGGTTTTATTTCTAATGGTGACTCACCTTACAGTATACTGACTGACACCTGCCCTCCCCACCTGATAAGTGATCCTGCACCACATATTTGAATGTGAACCTTATTATGTGAACAAACCTTGCTACTTATGCACATAATATTTTTATATACCCTCTCATGTTATCCTTGACTGGTTCTTCTCACACTTCCACTTAGCTGAACTTGATAGAGGAATCTTTTCCTTCTTTATTCTCTGCTAATTTATAATTGAGGAACAAACTGACAGGAGACAGGTCAGTACTGAGACCTGCAGGAAAACATGCAATTTATTGTATTTCTACACAGAAATATCACATGAAGGGCCAGATAATTGAACTTATAGGATTTCTGAATGCAGGTTACTGGTTTCTGGTGGGGAGATATAAGCAAGCTGTGGGTGTTTGAATGATTGGGTATGTGGAAAAGAAAGCTTTTCTTATTACACACACGGTCGTGGGTGAGCTCTGAGTTGCTCTCAGAATAGGTGAGAGCCTATGTGTGTCTGGTTGGGATGCTAAACTCTAGTTTCCTTTCCTGTGGTAAGATATTTTTACTAGACCTATTTTTAGGTCATACAAAGCCTCTTTTTGCATCTGTTTATTAATCTAGATGACTATACATTTCTTCTGTAAAAAGCTGATTTGTAGGAACCCTCAGGTGTCTTATTTCTCTGAGTGACCACTGCAGTATGCAGAATGGTTGGTTCTTTCCTGTTCTGCTTTGGTTTTTCCTCAGTTAGGGCTGCTGGGGCAGCTCAGCTTGAAGTGGGGTGGAGGTGTTGAGGATCACCAGCAAGTCCTCAGAAGTAGCTCTTCTCTTTGCTCCTACTTCTGGGGTCTGACCTTGCTCCTCCAGGGCCAGAGGTGCTGGTGTTAATTCCTCCCTGCCACCTTTCCCTAGAGTCTGCACGTGTTGGTTCGTCCTACAAACGACAGAATGAAGCAAATCCAGGAAGAGGTGAGTTTGGAAGTAGGTTTTGAACTGGAATTTGGAAGGGGTGGGAGGTTTGATTTGAGAACTTACGGAAATGGCGAAGTATCTTACTATCACCAGAGTTGGATAGCAATACAGCCAGGTAGTTGGTTGTGCAGGACAGACGTCCCTAGTCAGGAATGGCCGCCACAGGAGGAGAGAGACTAGAGTAATGAGTGTTGGCAGTGGGAGCTAGAGATTTCGACGTATTTTGCAGTGTTTGCTGTTGTCTTTGTTTATGTCTTTGCCTCTTGCTTCTTGCTTGTCCACTCATTTATAAAGCAGGTATAAATGAGTGTTTGTGAGAAATCATTTCTGTGCCGTCAGCAATCCTTTGCTTCTGCATACCGAGATTGGTTGATGTCTGCTTACATTAACCCCTGAGCATCTGAAATCAGGACAACTTGTAAGGCTACACTTGGGGTCGTAACTGGCTTTGCTACAGTGGCGGTGTCCTGTTTGTGAAGCAGAGTCTGAGGATGACAGCTGTAGAGTTGTCATCTTTTCTGTGGTGTGTTGTTGCTGTTGTTTTCCTGTGTTCTAGCTAGTGCATGCTAAAATTGAATATGTAATCGGCACCAGGATTTTGCTCTGGCCTTCCCTGGGCTCCCTATCCCTGTGATCTTGAAAGCAGTTGAGATGAGCCACACAGAAGGTAATAAGTATATTAGATAATAGGTGGAGTTTATTACAGAATGGGAAGGAGCACACTTGAAGGGTAAGAATGGCTAGTGGCTAAAGGGATCAGTTCCCCATCTTTCTTAAACATCTTTCTACTGTTGCAAAGGTTTCTGGGAGAGATAGTGTGCCCAGAAGGGGGTTTTCCTGCACAAATGATTGACACGCCCATTTGGATTAGCTTTTAAGGAAGAGGACAAAGGGTGTACGTCTATCTCCCTTGGCTCCACAAGTTTTCAGACCAAGTAGATGGCCAGAATGTCAGACTCGGTTCAGAGCCAGAGAGATGACTCAGATTCCATTCCTTGTCAAGTCAGAGTTTTGCTGTTTTAGGTCTTAGTTTTACAGTGTGCTGTGTTTGAGGGAGAGGACCTTCCCAATGACTGACTTCATATACAACTAGCTACCTAACATAATTAAGCCTTTAGCCTGTGCTGTGCTGGTTCACAATACGGTAGAGAAGACTTTGTAACCTAAGTGTAAAAAAATAAGTTGGCTTTCTATTTGATTTTGCGTGCCTACTTAAGTTCTTAAGTTCTCAGTCTGTATAGACCAGAGCTACTAAAAAGTCATGATACTCGTTCCTCTGGGACAGTGGTTATCGACTTTCCTCATGGTGCAACCCTTTACTACAGTTCCTCATGTTGTGGTGACCCCTGACCATAAAAGCATTTTGTTGCTACTTCATAACTATAATTTTGATGCTCTTATGAATCCTAGTGTAAATATGATGTGCAGGATATCTGATATGTGACTCCCTAAGGGGGTTGCAACTCACAGGTTGAGAACCACTGCTCTGGGAGATTTGGGCAGTAGAATAGACTTTATAATGCAGTATACAATTTGCCACATGAATTGGGAATATAGTAAGGAATGACTGAATTATGTTCTTGGCTATTGGAGGATGTCATAACGATTATATTGTGGTTGTTGGTTTTTTCCCCCCAAGTAATTTATTTATTTTAAAAATAGAGCCTCACTATTTAGCCTTGGGTGGCCTGGAAGTTATGGTACCATAACAGTTGAAGTTTTGTCTTTTATAAAAACCTGTTGAAACTTCAGAATTGGAAATCTAAACTTGTAGCAAGGTGTTTCGCACTCAGCCCCAGCATTACTGAAGCCAGATGATTCTCTTAAGGAGATGAGTGGGGCTATCCCCCATAGAAGAATCTTGTATCATCTTAGGTCTGCTGTTGTATATGGTATTCTCTCATGTAAAACAATCAGAATATCTTTACACATTGATTGCCCAGTGCCAGGGTGAGAGGACAAACCTGTTGCTGGCTGAGAGCCACTGGTCATAGAGTGGCTTCTTGTCTTCAGGACCTTGGGAAGAGGTGTTTAATACCAAGGTGGTGAGAAGCCTGAGTCTCCAGAGCTTGCTTAGCTGTAGCAGGAGCTCCAAGTTTGTGGAGCCTCTGATTAAAGCTGGCTTTGCTGCCCTCTGCAGGTGACTTGGTGTCTGCTTCTGCTCCTGCCTGCTCTCCAGCTCTCCCCTTTCTAGGCTTTGGCAGCATTTGTGTGGCCACTTTCTAAAGCAGCTTTGAACTAGTAATATCCTTAGTTTTCCCAGAACTCAGGACTCCACAGTGATTGTATGTTGAAAGCTATTAGTAAGATGTTTTTAAAACCAGGAACAACTTACTTTTAATAATTTTTATAAACTGATATTAAAACAGTTTAAATAATAAATTACCTAACTAAAAACCAAATTCAATTAAATAAATTTTTAGTTGTTGAACCTACTAATGTAATAATGTCCATATATTTTCTTGCTTATGTTCCTATTAAAAATGGTTGGGTGCAACATTATGTGAGTATCTGAAATAGTTAATGGTGATAACTTTATCTTATAGAGGTCTATTTTAAGCAAAAACAGTTGTTAACATCATTTATGCCAGGCTCTGGATCAGTGCTCTGAATTAATGGATTTCTAAATTCTTTTAAATAGTGTGAATGTTTTAGGAGTACCTGCTAAACTTCCTTTGTATATTACTCTTTGGGCTGCCTCTTAACTGGTTGCTCTGTGGTATCTATATAGTAGCTGTAATAACATTCATTGTATCTATATTATGATATGTTAAAGATTCTTAGCAACAGAACCCATCATGATTTATACATTACCCAGTGCCAGAGTAGGAAAGACAAAGCTGTCCTTGGCTGAGAGCCACTGGTATAGAGTGGCTTCCTGTCTTCAGGACCTTGGGAAGAGATGTTATTTAATACCACCTGAGGTGGTTGGGAACCTAAGTCTCTAGAGCTTAGGCAAGGAAGTTTGTGGAGCCTCTAATTAAAATGTGTTTTGCCCTTTTCAGCATTTCTATGATTACACTTACCAATTAATATTGGTATGGCCTACACTGCCTTATATAATATTTCATTCTACATTAATGTTTTGTGGTATTACTAAGAGAGGTAGATTTAGATGTTAATATAGTAATGTGGTAAGAACTTTCAATTTTAAAGTACATATATGGCTTTCCTTATTAGTTGGAAACACATAAGCTAGAAAGTGGCATCTTGTGTTGTTTCTTGTCCTACAATCTTTCTTGCTGTTGTTATGTAGGTAAAGAGAGATCCATCCAGTCTTTGAAAACATCAAGAGATACTTCACCCTCAAGTTCTTCAGCAGTTTCTTCATCCAAGGTTTGTTACTTTTCTAAACTTAGGTAGAACTACAATATAAAGATGATGGGTTGCCCAGCACAAACAGTATCATGTGTACCCATGGTGCTTAATGGACCCATCTGAAAACTCGAATTTGAAGCATCACAACTTGAAAATAATAGAGGCCAAAATAAATGATCATTTTTTTTCTCATTGATATTTTTCCATAGTTTTTGCCAAGGTTAGTGTTTGCTGCTGTAGCCTTTGCTCATCTTCATCATAGTCAAACGGGAATGCATATTTAGATGGGGTGTGCATTCATAAGATTTGCTTTTATTTGGGGCCACTGAGGGCATAGGCAGAAGCTTAACGTGTGTTTAAAATCACTCAATTCCTGATGTGCTGTACGTCCTTCTACTTAACCCATACAGAAACTGTGTAGCTAGGTTTAAATCTCAATTCTACAAAAGACTGAGTTTTAGAAGCAAATAATTTCCTCCAAGTGGTAGCTGCTCCTCACATAGCATTCTTTAGTCTTACTTCCTCGCATCTCAGAATGAGTTGACAAGATGGAGCCCATGTTTCTCCACTTAGTTACCGTTATCAGCCCCTTACCCTTCCCCGTGCTCATAACTTGGTGCAGATATTTTTTACTTTTTGTCTTGACTTTTTAGCAGAAATAGTTACCACCTGTCAGTCTGCTATTGGTCTGCAGGGACAGTAGTTTCTCTGCCTGAGAGGAAAAAGTGACCTTTCTGGGACAAATTTTATCACTGGAGGGCCCTTACAGATCTTGGGATTCTGAAATGTCAGGTTGTTTTTTGCTGTGTTTGTGGCATGGGTGGGCTTGAGGTTCTTGGCCTTGTAGATGTTTGCCAGATAGTTTTCCAGCTCTTTGAAAATTGGTGTGGTCTTGCTGACCCTCCTTCAACTTCCTAGTTCTTAGATTGCCTTCTCAGCTCAGGGCTTTTTCCTGCAAGTAGTATGGCTTTGGGAGTATAGTTTTCAGAGTTTATTTTAACCATTAGAAAATAGTTCCATGTGATAGCTTATCGAGTGTACACACTCAGTAACAGATGGACAGACAGATAGAAAAGTTCCTGTGACAGGATTTCTTTACATTTTACAAGAACTCCTAAGGCATTAGCTTGGACTGGCTCTATAACTCTCTTGAAGACAAACCTCTTTTAAAATTAAATATACATATTTTCTTGGATATGTTCTTGTTTTCTTTTAAAATTTTTTTATATTTCTACTAATATACTGTTTTACCATACGGTTTTAAGCGTCTGAGCTGGGTAGGCATCTTATACCCATGATCCCAGCACTCGAAGGCTGAGACAAAGGGATTGCATAAGCATGAACTAACCTTGGCTACCGATTGAGACTCTGCCTTCAAACAAACAAACAAAAGAGCCAAGGGATAAAAACACAACCTTCTGGATGGGTAGAGAATGGAAATGAGGAATTTAAATTTCTTTAGAAAAAAAGCTGAATGGAGTGGCTTTGGAATATACCTGGGGTAAGTTTCAAGTTTTCTCTCTTGGTCTTCTGAAGGCTTGATAGTTTTAGTTTGTGATGTGAGCTGACACTAGAGAGATCTGTGGAAAATTACTCTAAGAATCTGCATTATGTGCATGGGAGCCATACCTAAAGCATCAGCCCCTAGTTGAGACTGTGTCCTGCATTGTGCAAAGGCAGGGAACGTTGGGGTTGACTTTGGTTGGCTGCCTTCTTTCTTTTTTAAAAGATTATTTTTTTAATTATGCATATGTGTGGGTATGTGCATGTGAGTGCTAGTGCCAGAGATCAGAGGCTTCGAAGCCTCTGGAGCTAGAGTTACAGGTGATTATGTGCCAATTTGCATGGGTGCTGAGAACGAAATTCATTTCCTCTGTAAGAGCAGTATTCACTCTTGGCCATTTTAGCCATCTCTCTAGCCCTCACAACTGTATTATGCAGACCAGTTTTCCCAGCTGGAAATCTCTGAAGATCACTGGTGGCCCCTCTAGGCCAAGTGTTTGTCCCGTGATAAGCTTTCCTAGGCAGTTATGGGTATCTTAGAGAAAAGGCCTCTTTACAGTCTTTGCTCACTTTTGTTGGTTTCTTGTTATAAAAACGACAGGCAGCTTTTTGGAGCCGTTCCTGGCTTTACAGAGACCTGCAGTTTCTCTGAATAATTAAGTCAAAATAGTCAAGTATATTTGAGGAAAATATTTTTCTCTCACAGTGCTGTGTGTACACACACACACATACACATATGATAAATACAATCATGGCCAGCCTGTCCTATCATTCTGGTTCTTGTTTTTCTAATTCACGGTAATGAGGCTTGCCTTTGTCCCTTTGAGGAGTTCTATCAGGATGTTGTTTGGTCTGCATACGTAATTTATTCCTGGCAGTGCACCAGTGCTGCCGAGGTGGTTTTCTGTTTGTTTGGTTTGTCTTCACCGGGACTGTATTTCGGCAAGGTCCTCTGGAGTAGTGGATAGACCTAGTGCAGTGTGAACATGGAAAGGGTAAGCAAGCGTGCCCTTGGTTTAAACAGTGGGGGCTGGGTAGTCTGACTGGCAGCACACTGGAGAGGCCGAGGACCTGAGCTGCTTAGTCCACTAGGCTGATGCCTCAGTGGTCCCAGGCCAGTGCTAAGGCCTGAAAGAGTCCTGGAGATTTGCTGGTACTAAGTCTGTCATGGAAGGTCATAGAGGCTGGGCTCAGATGTCTGGCGGACAGCAGTATTGCCTTTTCCTTGGACCTCTCATGTCTACCTGTTCAAGGCCCCATGAGCACAAGCCTTCCCCACCTCAGGCAGTCCTTACTGAAAGCAGCTTTATGGACCCAACAGAGGCGTATTTCTTAGTTGATGCCATATCCGTTCAAGCTGGAAATCAAGATTAATCATCATAAACTGATTTTGTGGTCAGTGACACACACACACACACACACACACACACACACACACACACGTCGTTAGGGGCGACGTTGGTAAACATGGTTCTAGGAAATAGGATGGAGTCAGAGGACCACGGTTCTAAGGAAAGGCTTTATAATCTGTGCTGTGCTGCTTCCCATATTCATCCACAGCATAGGCCCTCATTCATCCACAAAAGACCTTTTCTTTGTCTTTGTTTCCTCCATGAACTCACTCATCTCTTTCAAATTTATCTCGCTATAATAGATTGATGGCAGTAAATATGGAAAAGAGAAAGTACCAGACATTATTATAGATATGTTCTAGGCCCATTATCTTTATTCTCACAACTTCTTTGTAAAAGGAAATAAGTCCCATCTAACAGATGATTAAACCACACTGCATGCCAAGATCTGCCTTAATTATATTGTATTTGGTTAGAGAAAGTAGTATTATGGCAAAACAATGAAGTTTAAGTCTTTAAACTCTTGTGCAATGAGTCTGACTTATTATAAAGATGACATATTTGGGCCTTTCTCATGCATTATGAACTTACGTTAGGGGTGGAGAGGTGGCTCAGCAGTTAAGGCTGCTCTTCTAGCTGCATAGTGGTTCACAATCCTCAGGAAATCTAATTCCAGGGGATCCAGTGCCCTTGTTGTGGCCTCAGGGAGCAGAGGATCACATGTGAAGCACAGACATATAGGCAGGCAAAACCACCCACACACAGTAAAATGAATGAATGGATAAATAAACAAACAAACAAATAAATAAATCTTTTAAAGAAGGACTTACTGTAAGAGAATTTAACCATTGTTTTATTTCATTGGAACATAATTAAAGATAAAATGTTGTAATCAGTATGATGTTGTTTGTATCCTGCATACAATTAGTATATATTTGTCATGTTTTTTGCATTGGTTTTTTTAGATGAGGTCTTGAAGTTTTATATAAATAAAGTTGTGAGTGATGTGTAGTCCATGTGTCTGTCTTAAAGGAATTCTGGGCTGAGTTTTGTGTCTCTATGTAGCTGTGGCTGGCCTGACACTTGTTGTCTTGCCTCAGCCTTCCTTGTGCTGGGAATACACATGTTAATTTGCCTGGCTCTCCTCTGAATGTTTTTGAAGGAGTGGAAAGGGGAGAGACGTACTCTCAGTACTTTGTGCTGCTTGATATTAGAGGCTTTTAAGAATGCTAACAAAGATGTCTCTATTTCTGTTAGATGTTAGACAAACCCAGCCGGCTAACTGAGAAGGAACTTGCTGAGGCCGCAAGCAAGTGGGCTAGTGAGAAGCCAGAGAAATCAGATGAAAATCACTTGGCTGAGATTTCCGAGTTTGAGGTATGATTTAATTTCATCTTTTTATTTCACACCTGAACATTTTGTCTGAATTTTAAACTGGATGAAAGTCCTGTGTGGTACCATACACCTATAATCATTTACTGCACAAAGTAGGAGTGTGAAAAGTGTATTTTGGGGTGATTTTTAAAGGAAGTGGTTTTTTTTTTTTTCCATTTTGCTTTGCTCCTCCCAGCCCTTTTGCAGCCTGGGGATCAAACCTAGGGCCTGTCTGTAGTTAGTTTTTGTTTCACTCTGTGGGGGCCCACCACCCAGCTCTTAAATAAATACAAAGAGAATTATTCTTAGTTATGAATGCTTGGCCTTAGCTTGACTTATTTCTAGTCAACTTTTCTAACTTAAATTATCCTGTTTCTCTTTAACTAAGTTTTGCCTCTGGGCTTTTTACCTTTCTTTATTCTATATATCTTTCTTTACTTCTTACTCTGGTGTTAGAAGTAAGTAAAAGGGTGGCTAGCTGGCTGGCTGGTCTCTGATATCCTCTTCTCCTCCTCTCTCTGGATTTCTTCTCCTATATATTCTCTCTGCCTGCCAGCCCCGCCTATCCCTCTCCTGCCTTGCTATTGGACGTTCAGTTCTTTATTAGACCATCAGGTGTTTTAGGCAGGCACAGTAACAGCTTCACAGAGTTAAACTAATGCAACAGGGCTGGCTGGAGAGATGTTCAGAGGGTAAGAATACTAACTGTACTCTTCCAGAGGTCCTGAGTTCAATTCCCAGCAACCACCTGGTGGCTCACAGCCATTTATAATGAGATCTGGTGCCCTCTTCTGGTGTGCAGCCATACATGGAGGCAGAATGTTGTATACATAATAAATAAATAAATCTTAAAAAAAAAAAAGACAAATGCAACACACCATTGCACTGTTAAATATTCCACAGAGTAAATAAATTAACACATCTTAAACTAATATTCCACAACACCAGTCTGTGTGTTGGATCTCTAATCCTCATGAAAGGTTTTATGATATATGAGATTAAATGTGTATAGCCATAGTATACTAACCCATATCTTCATGCATGATAAACAGATCCTTTCCCAAATGCCTACTGTATAATGTGCATAAGTCAAATGGGTAGACATGGAGTCCAGAAAGACTTGTTTATGAATGTTTGCATTTTTCCTTTTATTTGTTTGGCGTGGGGAGGGGGATGCTGACTTGTCATTTAGATGGTTAAAGTTTTCTTGTTATTTTAGGAGTATTAACATATTTTTGAGTATTCTAAAGTAAAGGCATCAAACGTATCAAGCTGTTATTCTTAGCACCTAGTAATAATAGCATAGACAAGAGAAATACTGGATTTTTACTTAATGTTGATTATTTTAATAATTCAGACTAATAATAGTTTTTATATTAACAGTAGATAATTGTACTTCAGAGGTCGAATTTGAGAGTAAGACTGATTTCTCGTCTACTTAATTGTTTGGTTTTATATATAAGCCAGTTTTAACTTATATGACGATGCTTTGCTCATCTGTCTCCACATAAGACACATGCATATGAGCTTCAGTCATCAGACCTGAGCCATCTCACTTGTCTTTTTTCCTTAAAAGTGTCTGTGTGTGTCTGTGTGTGTCTGTGACACTAAGTATATGTGGCCATCAGAGGACAATTCTCTGTGGTTGCTTCTCTCCTTCCACTGTGGAATGCAAGGGTCAGACTCGTTGTCAAGCTATGTGTTCATTATGCTCCCCAGCTCACGTCTTTTGAGTATCGGATGATGTCTTCACTTTTGTTCTGCTGAATGAGGATACCTGAGACTGGGAGGTTTACACAGAGCAGGACTTTTTCTTCTTCTTCTTCTTCTTCTTCTTCTTCTTCTTCTTCTTCTTCTTCTTCTTCTTCTTCTTCTTCTTTTTAATATTTATTTTATTTATTATGCATACAGTATTCTGCCTGCATTCCTGCAGGCCAGAAAAGGGCACCAGATTTCATTACAGATGGTTGTAAACCATCATGTGGTTGCTGGGAATCAAACTCGGGACCTCTGGAAGAATAGCCAGTGCTCTTAACCTCTGAGCCAGCTCTCCAGTCCCAGAGCAAGACTTCTTACGGTTCAGAAATCAGAGAAGCCTAACATCAAAGTACTATTAGTCTTGGTGTCTAACACGGTCTTGACTTCTAGCATGATGCCTTGAATGCTTCATACTCTGGAGGAGAAGCTATCTGTTCCTCACATAACAAAAGAGCAGAAAGCTCACCCCTAAAGTTCCCTTTGAGTGTGTCTTTTAAATTTTACTTTATTTTTCATTGAAAGTTTTATGCATATGTACAATATATCTTGGTCATGTATATCTTCCAATCTCTTCCTGCAATATTACCCTGCAATCCAACTACAACCGAGCTCCCCTAACATATCTCCTGATCTTATCCCTCCCAGCTTTATCTTCTCCCATTTTTGTTTTTTAAACCCGCTGAGTCTAGTTAGTGCTGGTCATGTGACATGGGTTATCCACTGAGACATGAACAACTCATCAGTGACCATTCTCAGGGAACATTGACTCTTTGTTTTGGGGTTTTTTGTTTGTTTTGTTTTGGATAAGGTTTCTTTGTGTAGCTTTGGAGCCTGTCCTGGAACTCACTCTGTAGACGAGGCTGGCCTCGAACTCACAGAAACTGCCTGTCTCTGCATTCTTTGTTTGTTTGTTTGCTTCCAATATCAACTCTTGTAGGGATAGGACCTTTTGCTCCCCTTTTCTGTCCCTGATGGAATTTTGACTATCTTGATCTTTGTAGGTCTTATTCAGTCAGTCACAGCTGCTGTGAGTCCATGTGTGTAACAGCCAAGTCATCATGTCCAGAAGACAGCATTTCAAGCATTACTTCTCATCCTCTGTCTCTATCTTCTTTCTATTCCATCTCAGAGATGTTTCCTGAGCACTCACAGTTGCTTATTCTCGGCATTTTGGGCAGGTATTAATTTCTGTATTAACCACTACCCACTAAAGTAAGGTTCTTCATCAAGATTGGGAGCAGCACAAATCTGTGGATATAAACACATTCTTAGAAGGCACTTTGAAAACAAGACCGTTTAGCCATACAACATTAATAGTTACCCCTGGACCTATAACTTACCAAGAGTGGATTTTGCCTTTGTTTGTTATATAAGGTGTGGATTCATTGCTGTAGAACATTCCTGCATCCAGTCAGGGAGTAGTTGTACCCGTATTCAGACTTGCCATATTGTGCCCTTGGGCACATACCACCCAATAGGTTGGCATTGTACTATGCAAGATCCATTGCTCAGTAAGACTACTGATGTCAGCTCCCAACAGGCAGCCTAGCATCTTTAGCTCTGTGAGTGAGTTTTCTGATCAATTCAAGATTTATTTCTCTATGTCCTACAACCAGTATATGGTGTCTTCAGTAATCAGGTCTAACCATCTCATTATGGTATGTTTTGAATGTCTCTGAGGCCTCCCTGACCAGTAGCTTGTGGGAGTTAATAACCTGTGCCAGCACTGAAATGTTATATAATAACCCCTGTCTTCTGGGAGCAGCATTGTCTGTTCAAGCTCCTTTCTTTAACTTTTTGGTTTTAGTTTACAAACTAGTGGGAGTTTTCATACATCCTTATTTTGGGTTAACCTACTCCCTGTCCCACCCCCTTTCCTTCTCCTAGTTTAAACCTTCAGCTCCCGATAACTCCGCCCCTCATTTTTCATACCCCATGCATTCTACTCTCCTCAAGCTTTTTACTTAGCATGCTGTCATTGGCTGCCATGTGGCTTCTCGTTGCACCCTTCATCTTGGTTCCCCCTCCCATCCCCTATCTCTCTGCCCCTATCATTCACTCCTCTACTTGCATGCACCCCCAACCCCCCTTTTCATTTCACCTGTCTTCTATCCCCTATCCCTAAATGCACCCCAGTGGCCTGTTTCTCAGCTTCCTGGCTGTCACATGTATTCCAGGTTAAGCACACAAAGCAAAGGATCTGAAGCTAAGGCCCATATGTAAGAGAGAACATGTGGTAGTGTTTGTCTTCTGGCACTTGGGTGACCTTGGTATAATTGTTTTTCTAGTTCCATTACCTGAACATTTCATTAGTTTGCTTTTCTTCACAACTGAGTAATGTTCAGTTGTGTCTCTCTACCACATTTTTATTATTTATTTATGAGTAGGTGGGCATCTAGGTTTATTCCGATTCTTAGCTATTGTGAACAGAGTGACAATGAATGTGGATGCACAACTATCTATCTCTGTAACAAGATATAAAGTCCTTTGTATCTATATACAGTCTCCTGGTTTATATCCAGGAGAGCTATATCTGGTAGTTCTGTTTTTAGTTTTTGTTGGCGGGGGTGGGGGGGTGGGGGTGGGTTTTCTTTCTTTTTCTTTCTTTCTTTCTTTTTTTTTTTTTTGGAGAAAGCTGCAGATCAACTAATGAAGTGCCTATTTGTATACACTCCCATCAACAGTGTATAAGAATTCCCATTTCCCCACATCTATACCAACATTTCTTGCCATAAGTGTTTACTAGCCATTTGGATTTCTTTTGAGAACTTTCTGTTCAGTTCCACAGCCCATTTTAAAATTGAGTTGCTTCCTTTAGGTTTAGGTTTTTGAGTTCTTTGTGTATTCTAGACACTCAACCTCTTTTATATGTATGGCTGACAAAGATTTCTCCCCCATTCTGTGGGCTTCCTCTTCACTCACTCGACAGTTTCCTTTGATGTACAGAAGTGTTTCGTTCATGAGATTTCGTTTGTCAGTTGGCCTCGTTTCCTGTACTACCTCTTCAGAAAGACGTCACCTGGGTCTGTTTATTACCATGTATTCCCCACTTTTTTCTCTAGCACAGCTGTTCGCAACCTGTGGGTCACGACCCCTTTGGGGCAGGTGTCAAACAACATTTTCACAGGGGTCGCCTAAGACCATCAGAAAACACAGATATTTACATTACAATTCATAACAGCAGTGAAATTACAGTTATGGGGTAGCAATGAAAATAATTTTATGGTTGGGGTCACCACAACATAAGGAACCGTATTAAAGAGTGGCAGCATTAGGAAGGTTGAAAACAACTGACCTGTCAGTTTCAAGGTTTCAGGTGTTTTTATCCTGTTACTTTGCTGAAAGAATTTGTCAACGGTAAGAATATTGGGGGGGGGGGGTGCAGCTGGAGAGGTGGCTCATTGGTAAAGAGCATTCACTCATGCTGGGTTCCTAGCACCCATATGGTAGCTCACAGCATCTGTAACTCTGGTTGATGTTCTTTTCTGGCCTCCCTGGGTTCTGCACAGACATAGTCCTCAGACAGACAAGCAGGCACATAGACATAGATAAGCCTGCAGGGCATTTTATTGATTGATTGATGTGGGAAGGCCCAGTTCACTTCAGGCAGTGTGACCCCAAAGAAGGCAGGCTGAGCACCCAGAAAGCAGTGTTCCACCATGGCTTCTGGTTTAGTATCTGCCTGGGCTTCCCTCGGTGCTGGACTGTTTCAGAATTTGTAAGTCAAATAAACCTTTTTCCTCCCTCCAAAAGGAATGATAATGGTGGTTATTTCCACATCATGGAAAGCAAATTATGATAGTCTTTAGGGTTTCATATACAGAATTATATAGTCTGCAAATAAGGATAATTTGATTTCTTTTTCTATTTGTATCTCTGATTTCCTTTGCTTGTTTTACTGCTCTCCCTTGAATAGTAGTGGACTCAGTGGACACCCTTGCCTTGTTCCTGATCTTCATGGAACACTGAGTTTTTCTTCATTTAACACCATGCATATGGCTATAGATTTGTTTACACAGTCTCTATTTCTGTTATGTTAGAGGTATGCTCTGTCTGTAAAGTCACCAAGACTTTCATCTGGAAAGGATGCGTTTAATGAGATGACCATGTCATTTCTGTGTTAGAGTATATTTATTTGATGAGCAATGTTTATTAATTTGTATAATTTGAACCATCCCCACATCTCTTGAATGAAGCCAGCTTGATCATGATAAATAATTTATTTGGATGTGATCTTAAGTTCAATTTGCCAATATTTTATTGAGAATTTTGCATGTGTTCATCAGGAGATCAGTCTAATGTTTTTCCTTTGTGTTGTTGTTGTTGTCTTTGGCTTTAGTATCAGGTACTATTGGCTTCATAACAGTTTGGAAGACTTTTTCCCTCCTCTATTTTATGGAATAATTTAAGTAGTATTACTGTTCTTCTGATAGAATTCTGGGGTGAGCATATCTGGTCATGGACCTTTCTTAGTTGGAAGAGTTTTTATTCTCTAATCCCATTGCTGGAAATGGATCCCATGGTTTAATTTTGGTATGTTGTTTAATCCCATGGATCATGGTTTAATTTTGGTATGTTGTATACATCTAGAAATTGATCCATTTCTTTTAGATTTTCCAATTTAATATAATAGAGGTTTGTTTTATTTATTTATTTTTAAGTGTATCAATTTTTGTCTGAGTGTATGTGCGTGGTGTCAGCAGAGGCCAGAATTTATGGGTGTTGGATCCCTTGGGATTGGAGTTACAGACAATAACTGCCATGTGAATGCTGAGTCTTGAACCCAGGTTTTCTGCAAGAGCACTCAGTGCTCTTAACCCGTCAGTCATCTCTCCAGCCCCTAACGTAATAGAGTTTAAAAAGTATATCATTATGATTTTCTTAATTTCATAGATATTCATTGTTATGCTTCCCTTTTTGGTTCTAATTTTACTAATTTGGGTTTTCCTTTTTTCTCTTGTTTAATCTGGCAAAGCATTTGTCTCTTATTTTTTTCATAGAATTAGCTCTTCATTTGATTCCTTTACTTTGTGTCATTAACTTCAGCAATTTATTTTTTTAAAGGGGTGAAAGAAGGAGAATTTTTATTAGTATATATTATTTATATGAAATAATGAGTTTCATTAAGATTCTCTGATCAGATTTATACCCCATTACTATGTTTTTCTCCCTTATCCTCCCTGTTCCTGGTTTTATTTTCTTAATCTTTTTTTTATTCTTTGAGAATTTCATGCATTACAATGCAGTATGATTATATACACTTCCTATATCTCACTCATGTACTCCCAAACTCCTGACAACTTTTAGCCCTGAATTTTAAAAATTGATTAATATTTTTTTGTGTATGGGTGGGTTTTGCCTGTATGTATGCCTGTGCACAAGGTGTCGGTTCCCCTGGAACTGGTTACAGATGGTGATGAATTGTCGTGTGGCTTCTAGAAATTGAACTCAGGTGCTTTGGAAGAGAGCAGTTGTTGATATCAACCTTTATTCCATTCTGGTCAGATACAATGCAGGTTGTTATTTCCCTTTTTCTAGATTTGTTGGGATTTGCTTTGTGTCTTAATATGTGGTCAATTTAGGAAAAATTTCCACAGGTTGCTGATGAGAATGGGTATTTAGTGTTTGAGTGGCATGTTCATGATTTATGATCTCATTTAATTCCGGTTTATCTCTTTAAATTTTTTCTGGATGACCCGTCTATTGGTGAGAGTTCGGTATTGAAGGCAGTCACCATCACTGTTTGGGGTTAATTACTCACTATCGGATTGAAGAACAGAACTAATATTGCTGTGTTATGCGCCCTTTCTAAGGCTTTTGAGTAAGGGGCCAAGTGTTTAGCTTGTGAGGTGGAATGTGTTCCCGTGCTCTCTTTTACTGTGATCCTTTATACGTGCTTGGGCTCTCACTTATATTTGGATTTTTTCTTAAGTGATCTATATTCCATGAATAGATTGTTTAAGGATTAACAATAGGATAAAACTTTTTAGCTGTTTCTTTTTTTTTTTTACTATAAGTATATGCAATATATATAATCAAGACTTACATTAACATAAACATTTGACAAATTCAGAGAAAATACTCCATTATTTATCCTATTTTGGTGAGTCCAAAATGTTGTACCTAATTCACTTTCTATTCTAACTTGTATTACCAACCAAAAACTATATTTTGATGTCTATCAAACTTAAATACTTTACACCTCTTCAGTGAGTTTATTTTCTGAATTTTTTCACAAGGAAAATTATAATTGTCTAGTCTTCAACTTCCTCAGTGACCTGAGAAGGAAATAATATTCCCTAAGTAAGTAGACAGTGCAAACAAGCAACTTCTAATGTGAGAAATGTCAGAAACAGCTGGCTGCCAGGACAGTCACCCAAGGTTCCTCTGCAATGTTGGGGCATCCATCTTTGGCCTAAGGCCTAGTATATCTGACAGACTTATCCGTGAAGCAGGGTTTTCTGAAGGGCTGACCTACTTTGTCATGGCAAGGTTTGGCAGTCCTTTCTTTTGTTTCCTGCTTGTCTATTTGAACAGCATACTGTCAGCAGCTGAGGCAAAGGTACTTTCTTGCCCAATGGCTAACTTTTGCCACAAAGAAAGTAAACTCCATATGGAGTTTCTTCAATGCCCATCATCTTCTCTGAAGTAGATTTTTTTGATTGGTGGTGTCAGAAGCCGATATGCCTCATTGTTATAAGAATTAACCATAGGACAAAACTTTTTAGCTGTTTCTTATTCTGTATTTACTATATTTATCATATTTTAGAATGTAGAATGTTGTAAGGCTTAGTTTCATCAAAAATTCAGAAAAGGGGGGAAGAGGAGGGGGGCAGGAAGGGAGAGAACAAGGGAATCTGGCTGTTATGTAGAACTGAATAGTATTGTAAAATAAAATAAAATTTTAAAAAAAAGAAAAGAGAAATGTATTCAGTCAAACTTCAAAAAAAAAATTCGGGCGGTGGTGGCGCATGCCTTTAATCCCAGCACTCGGGACGCAGAGGCAGGCGGATCTCTGTGAGTTCGAGGCCAGCCTGGTCTACAGAGCGAGATCCAGGAAAGGTGCAAAGCTACACAGAGAAACCCTGTCTCGAAGAAAAAAAAAAAATTCAGAAAAGTAGCAATCATATCCTCTAGCCTTCATTATATATGCTCCTTATGTATCGTGACAGGATGTATTTTCTTTTATTAAATTAAACAGCACTTTTAAGTATAATCTTCTCTTAGTGACCACATATGCCGTCTTCAATACTCTGTCCTTTAAGAAAATAACTAAGGACTTCCTCTGTTTTCAAGACGGGTTCCGTGGCACCCTTATTTATGGACCAGACAGAAGAACCCGAGTCAAATACAACAGACGGCACAGAATTGTATGAAGACAGCCAGCTTAGCAGTCGCTCAAAAGCAATTGCATCAAAAACCAAAGAGATTGAGCAGGTAAGAATGCAGTCTTCCAATAGAACAGCTCCTGGTTTGCACTGAATTAATATACTGGTTCGTCTATTCCTCTTCTAACTCCAAGATTCAGGTGGCAACTTTGTTCTGCTCTGTGGTGTATACCTACCACTTAAAGCAGTGAGTCATGTGTGGCAGACTCAGGAAAGTATTTTTTGGTTGACTGATGGATAAAGTCATAACCCTGACAGTGACCTTTGAGTGCTTCCGGAGTCACTTAAGATCAGAGGTGTCTTATATCACCACCAACCTCTCTTAGGCTTCATTCCTAACAGTGTTTGATCAAGGTGTTATTTAAAGGGGTGAATGCTTTAATGCCCTCTTTTGTTCCTAAGTTGTAGCTCTCTTTCTTTTTAAGATTGATTAAATTTTATTTTATGTGCTTTTGTATGAGTGTTTTGTATATATGTCTATGTACCACGTGTGTGCCTGGTGCCCTCAAAGGTCTGAAGAGGGTATTGGATCCCCTGGAACTGAAGTTACAGGTAGTTATAAGCTGCTGTGTGGGTGCTTGGAATTGAAACCGGGTCCTCTGAAAGAGCAGCTAGTGCTCTTAACCACCCTATCCCCTAAGTTGTAGCTTTTTATTTTGTTTTTTTTTTTTTCAAGACAGGGTTTCTCTATGTACCCTCGGCTGTCATGAAACCTGCTCTGTAGACCAACCTGGCCTCAATCTCACAGAGATCCTCCTGTCTCTGCCTGTTGAGTGCTGGGATTAAAAGTGAGCGCCATCACTGCTTGTATGTAGTATTTTTAAAGACAAGTTCTCTTAAGAATGTAACTGGTGTACTCACTCATAAGTGGATACTAGATATAAAGCAAAGGATAACCAGACTGCAACCCACAGCTCCAGGGAGGCTAGCTAGTAAGGGGGACCCTAGGAAGGACACATGGATCACCCAGCAGTCGAGAAATGGATGAGATATACATGAGCAAACTGGGAGGGAGGGGGGGTAATAAAGGGCAAGGGACAGAGGATGAGAGCTTAGGGGAGCGGGAGGTTCAAGCTGGAACGGGAACAGAGTAGGAGAGCAAGGAAAGAGATACCATGATAAATGAAGACACCATGGGTATAGGGAGAAGCAGAGTGCTAGGGAGGTTCCCAGGAATCCACAAGGATGACTCCACCATAGACTAATGGCAATAGTCGAGAGGGTGCCTGAGCTGGCCTACTCTGGTGATGGGATGACTGAATACCCTAACTGTCATAGAACCCTCATCCAGTGACTGATGGAAGCAGATGCAGAGAGATTCACGGCCTGGTCCCAGACAGAGCTCCAGGAATCCGTTCGATAAGAGAGAGGAGGGATTCTATGAGCAAGGGATATCGAGACCATGATTGGAAAAAGTACAGAGACAACTAGCCAAACTAGTAGAAATGTATGAACTGTGGACAAATAGCAGGAGAAAAATAATTTGATAAGCCTGAAGTACATCATGATACCCTGTCTTGAAAAAGTAATAGGGTGCTATAAGATAGAAGCTGTGTGGAACTTTCTCTTTCCATTAGAGAATTTGGTTTCACACCTGGGGAAGAAGTAAGACCAGAATCTCCCCAAATTCAGAATTCTAGCACATGATAATACATGTATGTATAATAATTTATTACTTATTTTTAAATAGAGGAAATAATTTTCAGGAATTTTTTTCCAATTTAAAGATTAAATATCAATGCATAATAGAAAGTCATGAAGGTCTGTAAAAACAAGATGGTTGCTACATTGATGTTCAGTAATTCCTCTTTATATTTTTCATGTACATGGATTGTTTAAAAAAATTTTAATGGGGGCTGGAGAGATGGCTCAGAGGTTAAGAGCACTGACTGCTCTTCCAGAGGTCCTGAGTTCAATTCCCAGCAACCACATGGTGGCTCACAACCATCTGTAATAAGATCTGATGCCCTCTTCTGGTCATACATGCTGTATACAAAATAAATAAATAAATCTTTTAAAAAAAATTTAATGAATAATAGCAATTATTTTTGTGTATGAATGTTTTGCCTTCATGTATGTCTGTGTGCCACATGCGTGCCTGGTGCCATCAGAGGCCAGAAGAGGGCATCAGATCCCTAGAACTAGAATTTCAGACAATTGTGAGCCACCATGTAAGTGCTGGAATTGAACCCAGGTCCTCTGGAAGAGGAACAGCTGCTGAAATGTCTCTTCAGCTCCCCTGGGGTTTTGAAACCCCAGGTCTTTTCACTGAGGCAATGTTATAGTTTAAATAAAAATTCCACTTCAGAATTTCCTAGTGGCCACAGTGTAGCAGTTCTTGAAGTTTAAAGGCAGGCAGATGGGGTAGAGTGTAGCAGAATCACCTCAATGCAGGGACATAATCTTTTGATAGATTGTCACCTTGTCATCCCTGGGCATTTGAGAATTTTATTAGTGTTAATGGTGCTGGTGATTTTTTTTTTAATAAAAGATTCAGATTAGAATTAAATATGGTAGAGCACTAGTGTAAATTCTCTATCCAGAAGACATTCATTCATTTCTGTCCAAGATATGCTATATTTCTAGAAATGAACTGTTTCAAACATCCCACTTCCATTCAACATTCTGTGTTAGGTAGGGACTACCTTCTTAACCCAACACATTTGGCTTCCTTATGCTCTGGCACCTATTCTTGCTCATTGTCTGCTGTTGGGTTTTTTGTTTGTTTTGTTTTTTTGTTTTTTGGCTCTTTTAGCTCTTTGGCTCTTTTGAGGGTCCCGCCACCCAGCTCCCAAATAAATCACACATGGAGGCTTATTCTTAATTATAAATGTCCAGCCTTAGTTTGGCTTGTTTCTTGCCAGCTTTTCTTTACTTAAATTATCCTGTCTACCTTTTGCCTCTGGGCTTTTCCCTTTCTCTATTTTGTCACATGTCCAGCTGATATATGCTGGAGTGAGTATGTGTGATATGAAAGATAGTGAGCAAACAGCTGGAGATGCTCTTCAATCAATATTTGAAATGACTAAAGAAATGAACAATATGAGGTTTCCTTTGTTCCTGGGCTTTGAGTAAGAATTAACTTACAATATTCAGTCCATTTACATTTAGCAAATTCAGAGAAAGCATTCCACCATCCATCCATCTTAGTGATTCCAAAGTTTTATATATAATTTATTTTCTATCATAACTAAGGAAACCTACAAGTATAACTATTTAGTCTTCAGCTCCATCAAAGACCCAGAAGGATGTACTGTTACTTAACAACAGATCATTTGGCTGCCTAGACAGTCACCCAAAGTTTCTTTGCAATTTTGGGGCATCAGTCTTCAGCCTACAGGCCCAGAGTATCTGGCACACTCTTCTGTGAAGCAGAAATTGTGAGGAATTGTTTTGCCTTGTTTTGGCAAAGTTCAACAGTCTTTTTCCTGTATAGCCTGCATGTCCAGTCCGCACACCACATTGTCAGCAGTCAAAGGCAAAGGCAGCTTCTTTGCCCAGTGGCTAACCTTGCCACAATGAAAGCAAACTCCATAAAGAGTTTCTTCAGTGCTCATATTCTCTGAAGTAATTGGTGCTGCCAGGAGCAGATGTGTCTCATTGACGTGAAAAACTTTAACAAAACATTTTAAATGCCATATTCTATAGGTCCTTGAAGTATTTGGAGACCATCTATCTAAAATATATCTATTTAACCTAGAAAAATGTCTATAAATTTGATTGTTATAAATGATTACTGACCTATGTTTCCTGATTATCCTATATAGTTTATAATAATAGCTTTCAAAAACTAGAACATTATCCTACATTTCCAAATGAACTGCATAGGCACAATACTTGTAACAAAAATACAAACATACATACAATATGTTGTAACAAAAGTAACCTTAAACTTTTATCAATATACAAAAATCCTTTAAACAAGAATAAGAACATATATCCAGTGCAACAAACATAACTTTAAATTTGTATCAATAGTCTATGTTCCCCTGAATGATAACAAGTATCTATAACCCACCAAATAACCAAAAACCACCCACACCCCCCAGCTCTTGGCAATGTGGGCGTAGTTTTCTCTATAAACTGCTTCCAGCTGACTGTGGACGAAGTATCTTCAGGGTCCCAGAGAGAAAACAGATAATGGCCAAGTCCTGGGAAGACTAGCAGTAATCTTGGCTGTTTATATGCCTACTTAAAATGGAATTATTGTGTATTTGTTTGATAATATCTAGTTGAATATGGTGAGGGTAGCAACTTTTTTCCCCCAAGGTAAGGTTTCTCTGTGTAGCCCTGGCTATTCTGGAACTCACTCTGTAGACCAAGCTGGCCTAGAATTCAGAGTTCTGCTGCCTCTGCCTCCCAAGTGCTAGGATTTAAAGGCATGCGCCACCACCACCCAGCTGTAGGGTAGGAACATCTTAAGAAGGGTTACTTACTTGCTGTTCTTTTTTTTTTTTTTTTTTTTTTTTAAGATTTATTTATTTATTATGTATACAGTGTTCTGCCTGCATGTATGCCTGCAGGCCAGAAGAGGGCACCAGATCTCATTACAGATGGTTGTGAGCCACCATGTGGTTGCTGGGAATTGAACTCAGGACCTTTGGGAGAATAGCCAGTGCTCTTAACCTCTGAGCCATCTCTCCAGCCCTACTATGCTGTTCTTGACCGTAAAAAGTAGAGTGAATGCCATAGCATTTGATAAAGGGGATTGGCTGTTCTGATTTTAACTTGAAACGCCTCAGACTATAATACCTATCTGTACATACATACTTACGTATATGTAACACACACCCACACGTGTTCTCATTGAAGCCAGGCACTATCTGTTAGTCATAGCCCTGGTATGTGTTATATCACTGTAGGTCATAACTATCCAGGAGCTCCAACTGCCTAAGAAACATCAAGTGAATTTTGAAATCATTTTGGTTTTGGCCTAGGCATTAGCTGATAGGTAAATATTATTGTGCTCCAAAACTAGATTGATACATGTATCAATTTTTTGTTTGCTTTAAATTCCACATTTTAACCATTTTTAATGGGGCTTTTTAT